TTGGTTTTCTGCAAGACGTTAAGTTGGCGGAGAACAGTCATTAATAATGTTTGTATTAAATATAGTAGATTTAGTGTAGTATTTAATTAATTTCATTTTTTTACTAGGATCTGTGGTGGATATATTACTTTTATTAATTTTTTTTAGGATATTTTATCATGTTTATAATTAGGATGCATTTGGTTACGATATAAAAGATTAATAAGTTTAGGGTTAGTAGAAAAAGTATTATATTCTATTTGATTAGTATAATGGAGCATCTTATTTGTTCGTCAAGAATATAGTTAGGGAAGATATTATTGATGAGAGTTTGTTTTATATTTTTTAGTTCAATGTTTCATGGATGAATTCATTATTGCACAGTTTATTAGGGTTTTTATAATTGCTGTTTTATAGTAATTTGGACATTCACTCTTATAATAAAGCTTAAAGGAATTTATACTGGTAGTTTTTTGAAATAGGGAGATTGTGAACTTATTGTTATTAGTATTTATCAGTATATCTAGAAAAGGAATTTAAGTTCATATGTAGACTTAAGGACAGAGTTGTTCTGGAATTGCTTTTTGAGTTTATGCGTTTCTTCCGTATTCTTGAGTAATATAAGGATATCGTCGACGTATCTTAGGTAAATGGAAGTATTTTTAAAATTGCTAAAGATGTTATTTTCAAGATTAGACAAATAAAAATTGCTAAAAGTCGGACCGAAAACTGATCCCGTGTGGACGAACTGAACGGACACACACACACACACACACACACACACACACACACACACATATATATATATATATATATATATATATATATATATATATATATATATATATATATATATATATATATATATGTGTGTGTGTGTGTGTGAAAAAGAGATATAGCTTAAGGTGTCCTATATTTATGGTTAAAATGTCAGGAGATAGAACATATGTAAATATAAAAAGTGGCCGCTGAGATCAACACCGAGTGGCCGTCTGCAAAGGTGTTGACATTCATTGTCAATATATATATATATATATATGATAGGATAAAGAATCTAACATATTTCACTTTATTAAAGCTTCGTCAGAGATGCTATATATATATATATATATATATATATATATATATATATATATATATATATATATATATATATGTTTCATTAAAAAACAATAAACAAGGTTCTAGCTTGTTATTTAATTTTTCTTGTGTATGAACAAGTGCTTTTTTTTTTTGGACAAAGGGTGTGTAGAAACTGCCCAAATGTTCTATAGTTACGAGCACTTTCGGCTATACTTTTAGCCATTATCAATAAATATATATTATAAGGAAATACACTATCCCAATTGACCCGAATAAAAATATCTAATAATTTATCTAATATAAGAAATTTAAAACAGCTAACCTTATCCTCAAAAATAACAACACACCAGCTAAGTCAAAATTACAACGAACCCCTTAAGCAACAGTGTTCCTAGTCAAACCGAATTCATAAATCATTACATCGGTCATACAACTACTTGCCTATCCAAACGCCTTACGCTACACCTATCTGCCCATAGCTCTATCAGAATCCATTTAAACACAGACAAACTTACCAAACTCCAATTGAAACATACTAGTATATACTAGTAATATATATTATATATATTTTCTTTAAGTTTAATTCCCCATCCCCTCCCTCTTTAGGTGGTCAATGATGTCAGTTCTTCGGTGGATGTGGGACGCCTTTCGTTTCGTGCGAGTGTCTTTCGTATTTGTTGTTGTGTTTGAATGAGTGCGTGTTAGTGTGAATACGTGAGATGAATGAATGATTATGCTATTAGAGTCCCGCATTGATTTCGGCCAGAGAAATGGGATTATTGCCACATTAGGTGATTGTGGGGGGTTTTATTACTAATAATATTTTCCTTAGTTTCATGTAAATAGATTATGCTCATATTGTAAATAAACATTGGGGTTAATTTTTAGAATTATTGTTATATTTCCCTCCCCTCACAGACTTTGTATTGTATATATGGGGTTTAGTTAGTTTTTTCATAGAGACGACGAGGTATTATGGTGTTTGTAGTTTGAAAGGTACGTATAAATGCGATGTTTTGGTTAAGGAATATTATCCGTACGATTGGGTCAGTGTTTGCGGCTAGCTAAGTTAAAACTAAGACAGAAGAAGACCGTCCTCTCCCCATTCCCCCTATTTCGGCCTTGTGCCACATTTCTGTTTCATTTGCAGAATAAATATTACTAGTAATATATATATATATATATATATATATATATATATATATAGAGAGAGAGAGAGAGAGAGAGAGAGAATTATATGTATGTGTATATATATATATATATATATATATATATATATATAGGAGGCGATGGGTAAATTGTCGCCATTTTACACTTTTTATTCCGCGCATGCGCGTTGTTTCTTTTGTCGACTGCACGGTATTGTAGCGTCGGTTTCTGTGAAAAAAGAGCACCATCATGCAATTCACAGAATGTTTGGGTGTCAATCTGGGTACAATGAAGAGAATTCAGAAAGAGTTGGATGAGTTTAATGGTGACAATGAAGATACGACACTTCGGAAAACTAACTCTGATAGTTCTGATAAGAAAAGAGCTACTGAATTTGTTGGTGAGGGTATCAGACGCAACACGGAGGTATACATCAAGTGCCTTGAGGAGATAGTACTTCCCTGGGTCAAGAGGGTGGCTGCTGTATGACCCTGTGTTTGGCAACATTACACTGCACTATGCCACACAAGTCATGTCCGTCAGACAATTTCTGCGACCACATCACCCCTTACACTTAGCCACCTAACTCCCCAGACTGCAACGCACTTGATTACTATGTGTAGGGAGCAGTTGAGTGAGAGACCGACAAAACTCCTTGTTGCGCCTAGCATGATTATGGCAGCATGCACAATCCAGAAGAATTGCAGGAGATACTGAAGTCATGTGGAGAACGTGGCCAATGGCAATTTTATTGGATAAATTTACTCTTTAGTATTTCAAGATATTTTTGTGTAATTTTAGTAAATATATTTTTAAAATGAGATGTTAATGTTATTATGCGTAATTTAGACGACAGTTTATCCTTCACATCCTATATATATATATATATATATATATATATATATGGATAGATAGATAGATATACGCCTATATATATACACACGCACATCTATATTTATGTGTGTGTATGCATGTGCGTGTGTGTAAAAATTCAGATAAAAATATGTCTGTAAAAAAATATGAATAAAGAGAAAAAGAAAAGTTTTATTGATCAATACATTTTGTTCTCTACTAAACTTTATAAAGATAAATATTTGAGCCCACAGAGGATAAAACCCATTGATAAGTATATATATATATATATATATATATATATATATATATATATATATATATATATATATATATATATATATGTTTGTGTAGATAAATAGATAGATGATTATACGTGCATACATACATACATACATACATACATACATATACATACATACATATATATACATTTGACCAAGATTTTGATGGAAACGCCTCTAGAACGAAGCCACTTTCTCTTATTTCCAGTTACTCATTGCACCTTCTCGGTCTAATGTTTTCCATTGATATAAAGTTTAGGTCGTTTCAACTAGTGAGACTGCTGCTGAGAAAGCTGGATCATAGTGTTATCTTAGACCTGAATCTATCTTGCACTTTTATAAGTTTACCATTCGTCTGTGCATTGAATATTGTTACCACATATGTTCTGGTGCTTCTGTTATATATCTAGAGATTCTTGAAAAATTCCAAGAAGAATCTGCAATGTTATAGGCATCTTGACTTTAGTCACATTCTCATTGCAGTAACGTCGATTCCCTGTTCCTTTACTTTATAGATTTTCATGGTAATTGTTCTGATGAGCTTTCCTCTCTTATAAGTTGACTTCATTAATTTAAGTGTATTAATAGATTGGCAGTTAGGTTCATTACCGTTAAAGTTGCTAAGGATAAACTAATGTTCTATTCTAATAGTTTCTTCTCTCACACTTCTGTGAAAATCCCTTCCAGTTCCTTGTTTTCCTGTCAACTATCAAAAATTCAAAAATCTATCTACCCCCCCCCCAATATATATATATATATATATATATATATATATATATATATACGTGTATTTGTACCTTCCTCTCTCTAAATGTATATGGTCTGAAGATTGCTTGAGACGGCAAACTGGCATTCACCATGCAGTGTTGATTTCTATGTTCGCACTGTTGACAACTAAAAACGCTCTATCTCCGAAACCGAGCACTATTACTCTATAAACATATATTTATCAAGGAGAGATGAAAGATTGTTAAAGATATATGTGCATGTATAAAATCTTTGTAGCATAATTTGATCTTGTCTAGTCGCACACTTTCGCATTTATACATATACATGTGAGAAAAATATAGTTTTCGGGTATGAGATATTTATGAGTAAAGTGCTCAATATCAGGAACAGACGGTTATGTAAATATAAAAGTGAACCGGGAAGTCAAAAGCGAATAGCGATAGTTTCTTTCATGCTTGAATGCAATCTTCAGGCCATGTTCATCAAGTAAAGAGATTGTGACTCTGAAGCGACTCTAATTGTCCAAGATATCGTAGCTCTTCCTACTAAAAATCTCTCCTCATTTCAGTATTTATGAAAGGCTTTTCTCTTATATAGTAGAATGAATTCTAGTGACATATTCTTCGTTTTTCCTCTTGAAGGAAGAAAATAATTTTCATTTTTTTTTCATACATAAAATCTACAATATCCGCAGGTTATAACAATAACGCTGTTTTTATTTAATGCCAATTTCTACATTTTCCCAAATGATACATTTGTACAATTTCTGTATACTTTTAACCTAGAAAGTAACTTAAAAAATAAATAAATAATCATTGTTTCGTATGAAATCTTTTTTTTTTTGTAAAATTATTTAAAAATGCCATCTCTACATTTACTATATTCTATTTTATAAAACTTGCATTCATATTCTTTTAATTTTAGATGACGACAGTTTACCGTCGACGCCGATCCAGTCACGCAGTCTGTCGGAGCGCGATGCACTAGCCATGGAAGCTGCTTCCCGGGCGATGGAAGAAGCCACACGAAAAATGGAAGCCGCATCGCGGGCCGCTGTTGAAGAGAGCCCACCGCGGAAACGATTAGCCATGTCGGACGAGGAACGTCTTTTGGTGCACGCGGGCATGCCCAGTGCTCACATCAAAATTACAAGTAGGAGTAAGTAATATTAATACACAACAAAAACAGAAGAAAATTGCTTTCTCTCTCTTTCTCTTTTTCTTTTCAACTCTCTATCTCTCTCTCTCTTTCACACACACACAAACACACAAACACACAAACACACATACATATGAGTGCATATATGTTTGTGTGTGCATTATGAAACATTTGAGGTGAGAATTATGTTTCTGCATGTTATTCTACAAGACAGGTCTACATAATTGAGGTTTGAGGTCACAATTTTTCTTAACATTAAAAAAAACCTGGGATTCTTAAGTGGATGCAGCAAATCCTTTCAAATTAATAAACGTGGTGGTTTTCATAAGAATGTAGTGAGGGTCGAAAACGCTCTACCAAAATATAAAAAGAGAAATAAATAAACGTTCCCGCTTGTTTAGTAGATTAGTTGAATTTCTGATTAGTTGATATGATCAACCCATCTCTTCCACACATTTGGTAAGCTTGAATCTATTGAAACTTTTCACAAACGTTTACTCTAATAAGGTGCCATTTTGAAATAAGTCGACAATTTCCGAACATGTCTCATTTGCCAATGCATTGCGTTTCAACTACCAAATGAGTCATTATTTTTATCCAAAAGCTTATATCTTTTTCTGTTCCGTCTATTCAATTATTTGTGACAGGAATTAAAGTATAAGCTTCAAATTACAAATTTGATAATGTAGAAAATGAGAAAGTATTGTTTGAAGAGCGACTTGATTATGGTGCAGTTACATACTTAGCAAATTGTGATCTTTTCTTTCTTTTATGATCAATAAATTTATCATTTCATTGATCATTTTTCTTTTCACTTTTTTTAGACTTGGGATGAATATTAAGAAAATATAATAGAAAATAGTGCAAAATATCGAAAAGAAACGGAAAGTGTTGAAAAATGTTGAAAAGAGAAGAAAAAAGAGAAGAATAAGAAAAGAAGAAATTTTTCTGAATGAAATCCTAAGGTGATTGGGTTGAAGAAGAAACGAATGTACAAGAGGAGAACGCTGGAAAGTGATAAGAAGCAGAAATAGAAAGCAGTGCATTGCATCTAAATTCATTATTCTCTTTCTTCCTACTTTTATTCAAGTTTTCATATTTCCCCTATTTTAAAACCAACAAAACAACATCCAATCAATAAGAAAGGAAAATTCCCAGAAATTGAAAGAAAAAAATACAATGACAAAATAATTTTGAAATGCATTTTCAATCATAACTATTTTAAGGTTTATAAATAAAGAAACGGAATCTAGGAATGGTTATTTAAAGGTGTAAACTCAAACTTTTTAAAAATTTTCGTTTTTTTCTTCGTTTTCTGTTTTCCTTCTTGCTATTAAATAAATATAATTATATAATCACGCACGAACACACATATATATGCATAAATTTATATATATCTGAGTGTGTGTGTGTGTGTGTACAATCTGACAAAAGTGACCAAACATCATAACATTTTGGAATCATATCTTTCCAGTACAACTTCAGTATATATATATATATATATATATATATATATATATATATATATATACAAGCACATACACACACAAGCACACACACACACATATATATATGTATATATATATATATATATATATATATATATATATATATATTTGTACATTCCAACAAATATAGGATGTCTAGATTGAATAGTGTAGCATAGAGTGAATAAATTTAAGATTAATGGATTGAAAGGTGATGGAAAATAAAAAAAATGAAATTGCATAATTTACTTGTTCACGTGCAGAAATCGTATAGTATTATTTCTTTTGATATTTCGATATTCAAGATAATATTCTTTAAATGTTCCTTTCTTTAATTTGTTTATTTTTTGTGTGGTTGGTAGAAACAAAGGGAACTGAAGAAGGGGAAATATGATTGCATTTCACTTGTATGATGCTATGTTTTCAAAGGTTAACATTTATCTTTCTTTCTACCTTTCTTGTTTCACGTATCCATGTTCCTTCGGCAACTTTATTTTTGGATAAATATTTTTTATTTTATTTCATTTGATATTTTTATATTTAATTTTGGCTAAAGAATTTTATATTTTTTTTAATTCATTTTGTAAACCGAAAATGAAATATCTTTTTATTTGATTTCTCTTATTTTCTATCTTCCTTCGATTATTTCTCCATTTTATGACCCATTATTTAATCAGTTTGTTCCTTGTTTTCATTCTAAAATTCTTTTGCTGTCCTTCTGTTAAGTATTTTTCTAAAACTCTCTGTAGATAAGTTTCTTCTTTCCTTTCTTTTAGCTCGACAACTTTTATGTATGATAAAGTGATTAAGTTAATCGAAGTTTTATAAAACATTATGTCCATTTGTTAACTATTCGATTTTTGAGATATAATAATCCCTTCCCTTTTGCTTTCCAGATGACGGTCGATCCGAAATCGACAATTCCCTAGTCGTCAGCATGGAGATTAACGGGATTATGTATCAAGGCGTCTTGTTCGCCCAGCAACCGCGACGGATTTAGCCAGACTATCATTGAATAAAAGGAATTAAAAAAAATAACAAAAAGGAAAATTAGACAATCGGAACAAGAACCAACCTACGGGAATGAAAAATAGGAATGCATGAAAAAAAAAGAAGCATTTTGAAATGGGCAGAATAACAAGAGTTAAATAACATTACTATCAGCTCCAATTATATTCACAAAACATGAAGAAAATATACACAACTGAAATACAAAGATGCCAGAAAAAGTAAAAGTATTTCAGATATTCATTTTTTAAACAAATACCGTAACATCTCAAATGAATCATCAACTGAAAATGGCACAAAGAGAAAAGATGTTGGAAATATATAAATTACTTCATAAAACTTTTAAGGTGTGTGCACCTATTTTTTAAGAAAAAAATGAAATCATGATCATTTCTAAGCGCAAAATATATCGTTCACATACATGTCTGCAGTAATACTGTGTTCTCTTGTTTACATATTCTGGTTATTTTTTTTCTGTTAGCCATGGACGTTTTTGACGAACAATCCCAGTAATGAAAGAAAATAGCCAATCGAAAATGAAAGAGGAAAAAAAAAAGAATTATGACACTAATGATGATAACAAAACAACCAGACACATAAAGAAAGGAGCAACATTTGTTCCGAAGTCATATAAAAACGTTGAAAATTTATGAAATGAAAATCAACATATACGTTTGAAAAGGGTCTAGTTAAAATGTAACGAAGCTTCATTTAAAACTTGAGACATTTGTAAGAAATTTACAAATATGATGGGGAAAATTTATATATAAGAATATATAAATTTACATACACTCACCATCACACACATAAACATCAGAAACATCAAAAATAGGAAAGAAAAATAAACTTGTAAAAAACAAAAAGAAAACATAAAACAAACCAAACAAAAAATTATAAAATAAATAATTCAATAAGCACATACACATACACATGTAAAAAAAAAGAAAAAAAAACAGTATCCGTGGCCCCATTTTTACTGTTCAAGTCTTTTAAATTTTTCAAAGAGAGCAATCTGGATATTCATGTTAAATCCACAATGGTTAGAAAAGCTGAAAATAATTAGATTACAAATGAATAAAGGAATCAATATTCAATCAATCACTTGATTATTTATTTGCTATATTTTATAAAGAGACAACTTTGGTCAATTTCATATACTATTTGTCCATGTAAATATTTGTATTTTCAGTTGTAAATTGATTTGTTTATGAATCTGTCAATTTTTGAATGCGTGTTTGTTTGTTCTGCATTCTTTGATTTTCATCAGTTTAAAATTAAAATGTGTGTGGGATGCGTGGGTGTGGTGCGTGTATCGAAGGTGTGCTTGTATGTGTGTGTCGTTGGTTTTTATACTGATATTTACTTGAATTTTTGGGGGAAGTATGAGTTTTTTAAAAATTTGATTTGTCGTTGATATCCCAACTTGTTTTTGTTCATTTGCTTTTTAGTTATTCTAACCTCGACTACAGGATGTGTGCGGATAATGGAATTGACATATCAAGTTCAAATTCCAGAAATACCTTGGAAAATGTATAAAGCTTCTCCTCCAGCTATGGGCTAATAGCAGGACAGAATTGGCACTCTAGTCTTGGATGACAATCAGTCGAGGAGAAGGAAAATTGAATTCAAAATCAAAAAGGCCTTCTTAGATGCATCCACTACTGCTAAGATTGCATTCTAATTAAACACTTGGCGCATCTTGGCCACGGCTCTGATTAACAACATTTAGGGTGCTTTATTCTCTGGGCTTCAAATTAAATTAAATATTTATTAACAAAACAAGAACAAAGAAAATGATATGGTTGAATGTAAATAATTTAATCATATTTATCAGAAGTAACTGAGTATCCAAGGTGTGCTTCGAGGTTCAGATATCTGTACTCGCGAAAAATCAATCTGTATCTAGCCTGAACGAACTGAAAGTCCAAAGTCAACTTGCGGAGGAGTTACTTTGTTTATTAATTTGATCTTATATATATATATATATATATATATATATATATATATATATATGTGTGTGTGTGCGTGTGCGTGTGTAATGGTGATGAGTGTCGGAATGTAGGAAAAACATCTGCAAGCTAAACATTTTGTTTATGATTGTATATAACGAAGATATGGTAATTAATGTAAGACGATTTGACTTGTATACTCATATTTTCACCTCCTCCTTATATTCGTATACATTTAATTTACTGTAACTAATATTTAATATACAGGTAAATCAATAAATCTGTTGCCTGATGAGGAAAAATATTAATTTTTCACATATATTAAAATTCTTCGGCATCAACCTTTTCCTTGCCGATCCCTTAAATTAGTCGTGAATTTTAATCAACATTTTTTGAAATTTCAGATTAAAATTTGACTAATATCAACGTGTGAGCTTGCAGATTTATTGATGTACTATCGAATATAATGGTTATTTACAATAGACAAACCGCTATTTTTTAAGATTTACGTAGATTTTCTGTTTATAAGAATAATATATGCTGTGCTAAATCAATTTTGTCAGTTTAAGTAAATTTATTCAATTTAAAAATACAAAGTACTGAAAGCGAACTGTCCTTGGAAATCACAATGTTGAAAAATTTGAAAATCTGATGAATTCTTTTTGTGTTTTCGTTTCAGCGATCTGCAGAAATATTTGTTCTGAAAACGTTTCAATCTTTTGCAAAATAATCATGTTACGAATAAAACTTATGACTTTCGACCAAGAGATATCTGAGATGAAATATCTTTCTCCATGATGATTACGTAAAATTTGTATGGTTTTTAGATGATGTTTAGTTTCTATTGATCTTCATTACAAAATATATGAGTGAGAAAAAAAAAACAAACTACGAATAATGTAAAAACTCCACAAAAATGTGTATCTTTGTGGAGAAATAGTTAATTCGAATGTCTAGACGCCAGATTTACCAAAGGTTTTTCAATACCAGATTTTAAAATCCTAGCTTTTATAGTAGCAAAATATTCAACCACATAACACCGTGATAATGGACGATACTGTTAAGAAATAAGAGCATGTTCATGTAAGTTTTTAACATTGGTTTAACTGAACCAAAGTTAGATTTTGAGGAAAAAATACACTTGAATATAGCATAAATTTACAAGCAAAATCTTAAATATTATGCCACATATGACTCTGGTTCCAGGGAATTGTACCATCAAATGTAGCATTTTTAACTTTGACATGAATGTTTTCCTCGAAACTATGCACGCATTATATTTGAAGAGAGAAGAAACAATAAGTAATTTTCATGCATAATTCCATTCATCTTTCTCTTTCATATACATTTGAAAATTATTTGAAACGTGAAACTGCCAGTCACCATGCAGTGCTGATCCAATATAACACACAAAACACACACTATATACATACATACATACATATATATATATATATATATATATATATATATATATATATATATATATATATATATATATATATTCAGTGTAAAGACACATAAAAATCAGGGATCTGAAATCAAATTTTCAAGGAAAAACTGATTCATTTCAAGTCAATGAATGACACAACACAATCTTCCTAGGCCTTCAATATTGATATATATTGATATATTGTTTTAATTATACAATGTCTGATGCGTATCTTGAGTACATCTGCATATATATATATATATATATATATATATATATATATATATATATATATATATATGTATGTATGTATGTATATATATACAGTATAGGATTGGTGTATACAGAATAAATTCCAATAACCAACAAATACTATTCTTAAAAAAGTGTACTCAATACAGAGTAGAGCAAATATAATTATTTTTTCGAAAATTATAACATAAACATGTTATAAAATCATTACAAAAATAGTCATTTTATTTCAACACTTCTGGTGTCTTATCAAGTGATGATGTTGAATGTAGAATAATGGGTTTTAAAAGGTTCAAATCAATCAGACATCCTTCGCAAGGGGAAACGCTGTTACATAAGCTTTAATGACCAATCAAAATACAAGTATACGAGAATTCAAAAAACTTTACAACGAACTAAGGTTATAATAATTATTTAATGCTTTAATGTTGTGGTTAGACTGAAATAGAACACATTCTACCTAATAAATACTAAATTATACTATAAAATTAGAAATTACCAATTTAAATTTTAAATTTAATCTATATTAAGTTTAAAATTATAAAATTATTTAAAGAAGAAACATATGTTTTTCTATTTATTTTATTTTTATTGAAATTAAGTTGGAATAAACGTTAAGATCAAATGCTGCTCTGAACGCGATTAGCAAAGGTTTCCAATTTTTATGGTTTTTTGTTGACAGTCTATTCGGGTTCTCAAATTTTGTTGTTTAACCATTCTCATTCCACGTCATTGTTCTTAGAACTGTCCTCCAATTTCATAATCGAGAAAGTTCAGTGATCGACATTAACAAGCAGCAAGATATATTATTGTCTGATTTCTGTGAGAAATCAAAAACACTTTGAAAAAAAAAAAAATTTCATATTTTATAAATGAAAAAGATTTCGTATATTCTCTTTTCTAGTTATTACGTTTCTTTCATAATATATTCGTTCTAAACAACAGCAATATTGTATTAAAATTATGAAAATTATATTGATATAAACAGTTAATATGTTTAGATTTCTTTAAAAGTTAAAATATGGAATGATTTGACTGAATTTTCCTGAAGCTTTTCATCTTATACTGGAATTGATCTCCACATGAACACAGAATATAAAACCAATTTTATGCATTATTTGAACTAATGGTTCTAATGTTACGACAACATAATTATGTAAAAACAAAAGTGTAAACTCGAACATGGATCCATAAAATCGATCGAAATGACAAACGAAAAGAAAAACTTAAAGATAAAAATGGTGCTATATATATATATATATATATATATATATATATATTTATTTATTAAAGACATTTTTATTTATGTCCGAGAAATTTTATAGATACAAAATATTTAAGCAAATTCTGTTTAAGTAA